GGAGGGGGGAGGAGGAGGGGGAGGGGGAAGGAATCAGGCTGCCAAAGGAGAGGCAGTGGGGGACAGGGGAGATGGCTCAGTAGAATAAGTGCTTGCCTAGCAAGCGCAAGGGGAAAAAGGAGAGGGAGATTGAGGTATCACTGGCAACCAGGCCAGAAGACACCGAGCCACCTATGGCTTGCGGTTGTTAGAGAGAGAGCAACAGAACTGCGTGCCACAGGGACAGGTTGGCAACCAGAGAAAAGGAGATCCATGGAAGGAGGGACTCAGAATCTCAAGTAGGTGAGATCTGTAAGAAGTAACAGGAGAAGTGTCCCTAGGAATGGCCAAGCAGTTCCACATCCTACTGGATCTAAGTGATAGTGACTCTAGATTGCACTGCACAGAACAAAGCTAAAAAGAAAAAGGGGGGGGCAGCCAAATAGCTTAGACAGCAATTGAGACTGGTCGTGGTGGCGCACACCTGTAATCCCAGCTCTTAGGAGGCTGAGGGCAGGCGGATCACTACGAGTCAGATCTAGTAGTGAGACCCTGAACACCCTTACACCCTTCCCTAAAATACAAAAAAAAAAAAAAGTTACTTCTAAAGGCCTTCCTTATACACTTCCGCAGGAAACGAAGTGTGACTTTAGCACAGTGAGCCCTTAAGAGAGTCCACTCCCTCCAACCCCTCAGATTCCACAGCTTTGGAGAGTCCACACCCTGCACCCCACAGGAGACAGAGCCCACAGAAGCCCAGGCCTGATCTGCAGAGGCCGCGCTTGTGCCTACTTTACGGCAACTTACAGAAAGCAGTTAGAAGAGAGGAGAAAAAGTATTGGGGGACAGTTTTTAAAAGGATTTGAGATTTGACAGATGAAGACTTTAAGATAAAAGAACTGATTGCTCAGTTCACACAACCTCTATCTGGTGGCATTAAAGAGAATCTGCTGTGAAAGGCGATGTGTATTCTTGGGCTGGATTAGCTGCAGGTGTGACTCGAACTGAGAAAGTGGAAGGATCACTGGGAGAGCTTATTAAACATACTGGGGGGATAGCTCAGTGGCAGAACATTTTCCTAGCATGTGCAAGGGCCTGGGTTCCATCTTCAGTACCACAAATATTTAGATAAGTTAAAAAAAAAAAAACTATAAATACAACTGTAGTCACCACCTCCGATCTTTCCAACTGATCTAGCAGGTGGAAGACCCAGTCATCTCCATTCTCAGTTGCCATTGGTCCTCGGCCCGGACTCTTCTTAGTCGCATTCCCTCAGGAAAGGGCTGGGCTTTGCTCCTGCCCAGATGGCTTACAGCGCCTTCTCCAGCACCTCCAGCACCTCCTCCGCCAGACCCTAAATTGGACAGGCCGCTCCCTGTCTCCTGCAGCTCCATCCTACCGCTTCATGCGCAGCTTCAGCCTTTCTTTCCATGCCTTTTAAAACGCGCAGAAAGGTTGCTTGCTTGATTTATTTGTTTGTTTGTTTGTTTGTTTGTTCGTTTATTTCAGCATGTCCATACATTTCTGCCGCTCAGCTGCCCTGCTCTCCGCTAACACCAGGACCCCCGGTCCCCTTCCCAGGGTGCGCGGGTCTCTGCGCCGCGCCCACCCGGCAGCCTCTCCAGCTGCTCTGGGCAAAGCCTCCCCAGGCTGCCCCTCGAATCCGAGGCCCGCGCGTCCTTCCTGCGTACTCAGGGCCTTGGAAGCAGCGCAGGACTTGACCCACAGTAGCGACCAAGGCGGCTCGGCGCCCTGACCCGCAGCGCATAGGGCGGACGGGAGCGCCACCTGCCGTCCATGCGACTACGCGACGCGAGCTCAGTGTTTTCAGCTCAGTTTGTGGCCCTGCACCGCCCTTCGGCTGGCCCTCGCCTAGTGCCACAGCAGCTGCCGGATGTTTTGAAATTCTAGGTTAAGGGTGCTTACCCCGGAGCCTGTGCGTTTCGCAGCACATGGTCTTTCTCTGAAGTTGTGGATTTCTTGAGCCGGGCTAGTGCACTCCGTTCACCGCAGTACGCAAACAGGTACCAATAAGGGTGTCACTTATCCCAAGGAGCTCTTCAGTGTGCGGCAGGCTGAAAAACACTCCCCCATGTTCCTCCATGTCCTACTCCCCTGGAAATTATGAGGGTCCCCTTCCATGGCAAAAGGGACTTTTGAAAATTCGATAAAATTGTATGTTTTGAAAGGAGAGATGATCCTGAATTATTCCAGGGTCCCTAACACCACAAGGGTCCTGGTAAGAGGGTGGCAGGGAGGCAGAGAGGTGGCAGAACCAGTACAAAGAACGAGACTCTGGAGGAAGCTCCGCTTCGAGCTTTGAAGGTGGAGAAAGGCCTGGAGCCTTGGCAGGGAGCCGCTCCCCGAGAGCCTGCAGGAGGAGCAGCAGATGCCTGGGAAAGGAGGGCAGCTCTGACCTCCGGAACCGTAGAAGAGCAACTCGGTGCCCTTTCTTGCCACCACATTTGTGGTGATGTGTTACAGAGTCTTTAGGAAACTAATGTGCATCTTAACAGACATCAGATTTGTGTGTGTGTGACAGAGAGAGAGAGAGAGAGAGAGAGAGAGAGAGAGACTGAGGGTCAACCCATTCTTTTTTCTTTGGAGACAGAATCTCAGTACGTTTCCCAGGCAGGACTCATACTTTTAATCTTCCTGCCTCAGCCTCCCTCAGTGCTAGGATTACAGGTGTGCAGCACAGCACTACCCTAGCGCAGCCATCAAGTGCTAAGTGTCCTGTGAGACCACACACACACACACACACACACACACACAACACACGGTGTCTTACAAGGCTCAGACTGTATCACTGGACCTGCTCTTCTCCGAGAGGAAACAACTCAAGGAGACCCAAAATGCAACCAACACTAAGGATGCGGATTGGCTGCACTCCCCTCTGAGCCAGAGAGAGGTGACATCACCTTGTGAGTCTCTTTCCTGGATGCCAGGCAGGACATTGACATGCGTACTGCATTTGTCTGCCGGATCTACACGTAGGTGCCTTGCTGACTTCGTAACTATAAGATAAATCCAGGACGCATCATAGAGCCCCAACTTCCCTGGATGATAGGACTTCAAAACATTTGAATATAAAGCAAGTATCCTTAGATGAAAAGGGACTCAAAGGAAGTTTTCCCTCCATGTAACATTTTGCAATGGTGCTTCCCAGACACCTCCACCTGTACATTCACTCTTTCCTGTTGTTGGGAATATTTGGGGGGGGAACAAATCTCCAAATTAAGAAATAGATGACATTTCACAAGTGATGAAATGCTCGGAGAGATTAGATATGACCACCTGAGGGTCTCCAAGCAGAGGGGCAGCAGGAATCTCATCTGAGAGGTGGAGCTACAGCCACCTCTGTTAGGATGCCTAAATGAGGACACAGGAGGGCATTCAGGAGGGAGGGACCGGGAGAGCACATCCTAGCCGTTGGCCAGCATTCAAGGAAAAGTAGTGAGCAGAGTGCTTGGGGTTCTGAAAGCCAAGAACAATTACGTTTTCAGTACTTAAATTGACAAAAGCATCAAGAAGTACCAAGATGTTTGGGGCAATATTGTCTGTAGTAATAAAAAATGGAAATTATGTAACTGTCCAACAAGAGAAAAGTGAAAAATTCTTAAGTAAAGCATGTGGCTCAATGCTCTGCCTTACCTTTTTTTTTTTTTTTTTTTTTTTTTTTTTTTTTTTTTTTTTTTTTTTTTTTTTTTTTTTTTTTTTTTTTTTTTACTAGAGATAGAAATCAGGACCTTGCTCTTTCGGGTCCTCCTTTCCAAGATGACGAAAAAAAGAAGGAACAACGGTCGTGCCAAAAAGGGCCGCGGTCATGTGCAGCCTATTTGCTGCACGAACTGCGCCCAGTGCACACCCAAGGATAAGGCTATTAAGAAGTTTGTCATTCGGAACATAGTGGAGGCCGCCACCATCAGGGACATTTCCAAAGCGAGTGTCTTCAACGGTTATGTGCTTCCCAAGCTGTATGTGAAGCTGCATTACTGTGTGAGTTGTGCCATTCACAGCAAAGTGGTCAGAAATCGATCTCGTGAAGCCCGTAAGGACCGAACTCCTCCACCACGATTTAGACCTGCTGGTGCTGCCCCACGACCTGCACCAAAGCCCATGTAAGGGGAGCTGGGTCTTAATGGACTGAAGAAAACTCTCTCGAGAAAGAAATAATAAATTGAATGTTATACTTTATACAGCATGTTGAGTGTACCTGCCAGAGGTGGGTTGGGTTAATTCAGCCTATCCAAGTTTAAGTTTGTACTCAGAAAATGAATAAAGAGGAACACACTGGGGGAAAAAAAAAAAAAAGAAAAGAAAAGAAAAGAAATCAGGACCTTATGCTTGCCAGGCAGGTGCTTATGCCACTGAGCTATCTCCCCAGCCCCATGCTCTGACTTACAATGAAGCAGTTCAAAAGAGTGAGGCTAAGGACCAGCAAGATAGTTCAGCAAACTAAGCACCTGCTCAGGCAAGCAGAGGGACAGGGATCCAATCCCCAGCACCACATGCCATGCCAGCCCCACCCCTGGGTGTGTTGAGCTGGCCACAGAGTCTGGGCATAGTGGCACACACCTGTAATCGCAGCACTGGGGAGGCTGAAAGCAGGAGGATCACTAGAGTCCAAGCTGCATAGTGAGATCCTGTACCAAATACATTTTTTTAAAAAGTGAGGCTGTTATGGTTTGTGTCTAGTTGTCCCCCCAAAGCCTCATGCAGTCATGGGGTGAGAACTTCTAGAGTTTGTGTTAACTCATGATCCACTGGGATTATGTGTGATTCAAGGCTGGGATTATGGGTCTTAGTACTGCTGGGATTACCCATAGGTGGGTAAATACTGG